AATAATTAATCTTTACCACTTATTATTTTCTACTTTATACTTCACCATAAACCCACTCTGAAAATGAAATATTAATGTACACTACATTATATGTCATTAATGATGGCATATAAACCTTTTTCTAGGCATTTTCTACTACCATGCCTTTGTATATGCTGTTTCCTAGTCCCATAGCCTTCCTCATTTGTCCACCTAGCAAACTCTTATTCATCATTCGAACCTCTGTCAGCATCATCTCTGTGAAACCTTCCCTAAGTACCTTCCAACAGAATTGAGGCCCCTTTCCTTAAGTACATATTTTTATTATTGAAATGATATAAATATGTGTTAACACGTCACTCATTATTTCAATACTGTAAACTTCTTGAGGATAGAAACATTTGTCTCTTCATTTTAGCAACTCTAGTAATTAGCAGAATGTCTGGCACATTCACTAAATATTTGCTGAATTGAACCAAAGAGCTGTTCCCTCTGTTATAACCTGCGGAGTATCACATAAATGTGTTTACATTTGATTTTAAATTATCTAACAATTAGAAGTTAACATTTAAAAATGTTTTAAATATTTAATGAGTACTACATTTTGTATTATTAAACTCATTTCCGATGAGAGAAATTATCATCCCTATAAGAGCCTAATAAAATTATATAGTTAGCAACACACTTAAAAAAAATTCTGTTGCTTAGCTTAGTGCAATGGTGCACACCTGTAGTCTCAGCTACTTGGGAGGCTGAGGCAGGAGTATGGCTTGAGTCCAGGAATTCAAGTCCTCCCTTGGTAACTTAGTAAGACTCTGTCTCTTAAAAAAGAAAAATTTGTTGCTCATTCCTTCCACTCTTCTGACTTTGTGCCAACCTCATGGTTATTACAGACTCATTACATTTTGTTACAATTACTTGTTTATGTGTCTGAGGCCCCTCCTAGATGTAAACTCATTGAGAGTCAGGCCCGTGACACTTCCTTCCATCTTTGTAGCCCTGGTGCTCTGCAATGCTATGAAAGAGAGGTGCTCTACAAGAATCTGTTAAATGAGTAATAGAGGACTAAATAGGGGACAATGAATAGAATTAAATCTTTGGTTCTTCTCTCTCCATTAGAACCTACTTTATGATTACCTTAAATGAAGAAAAATCTGCAAAATTCTAAATAACGCTTTGACTGTGTTGTTGAATAAGGCTAACTTAAGACTGTGTGGGTGTGTAAACTAGTAAAATACGAAAGGAAAAAGATTTGCTGTGCAAATATTTTTATTTTGTCTTTTAAGTTTACACTGAAAGAATTCTTTTCTAGTTTTGAAACATCAAATAATGGGTTGAATCAGAGAAAAATAACTAGGTTTTTATCATGAAAAGAATTGGACATATTAAATATTTCACTGAAGTTTAACAGTGTGAGGCATCCTTTCCCCTCTGCTAAAATATTATTAGTCCCATAATTTTCTTTTATTCTAATATCATTGGATGAAAAGTAGTGTGAGACACTCCCAAACTCGCTGTTGTAGAAAATTATTTACACATGATTTTTATAACAGTAGTGTTTGGAAAATGTGGTGAGCTAATTTTGAAACTTCATCTCAACTTCTAAGGAGATGTGACATCTATTATATGCATTATTACTCACTAGTGAGTGGCACTGACAAACACAACTTAAAAGAGCATCTTGAAAAAAAGTTATTTATACAGAAACTGTATAATAAACGGTACTATAGCACTGGTGATTTTTAAAATTAAAAATGTCAAATGAAATTTTCAATTTTATGTTGTTTTTCTATATACAAACCACTTTAAAACCCACGGAAGAACAATTCATCAGTGTCTTGGTCATAAATATGGCAGAACTTTTCCTCCAAAGTAATTCTCTAATTTGTGAATCTACTAGAACCATTGACTTTAGAAAGTTGATATTGTAAATGATATCAATGTTGTGAAAAATGTGAAAATGGTGATATGGCGAAATGGTTCTCTGGAGATATAGTTACTGTACTTTATAATACACTTTCTGAGGTATTTTTTAAAAATGGCACTACAAAATTCCTGTATCAGTGTTTTAAATATACAAGATAAAATTTAATTTCTTCATTTTTTTCCAGATGAGGAAATTAATATTTATAAGTTATGGGACTCATCCAAGGTCATGGGCCATGTAGGAGAATTCAGTCAGACTGTGAAATCAGACCTTGTTCATTACTTTTTTCTTTACTCTGCAATTTTCATATTTTATATTTTCCTGGCCTTAAACATAACAATTTGCCTCTGTATTTCCATGTGAAATAAATTTCCATTATAATTTGGATAGGCACCCAAGTAATTACATATAAAATTAATTTGTAAGGACTAGAAAAAACCCATATATTAAAAAAATTGCATGGGGACATATAAAAACTAATGCCACTTAAAAAATTTTTCTCTATGAGATGGGTGTGCATATTAAATATCTAACCTGGGCAATTTAGCATGAGAATATTATAAGCTTAACACAGATTTAAAAATATTAATGGCTGAATACAAGTTAGAGAAGTGGAATGTTAATCACCATTCCTAAGAACAACTCTAGAGCTAAATTAGAAAAGTATGAATCTCAAGAATCCATTGAATCCAGCAAACAGAAGGGGAAGTCTGAAAAACGAGACAAAATGATATTTAAAGTTGTTTCCAAATTACTTCAACTTCATAATTTTAAACTTAGGGGAATCATATTTCATGGTTTTCATAAAGTGAAGTGAAGTGACTTTTGCCTTTCAAGTTAAAAACACACCAAAATAGCTCCTCATATTTGCCTTTAGGAAAAAGAGGTAGCAAAACAATTTTCTAAAGCATTAAGAAACTTACCTGTTTCCATTTTTCCATCCTGTGCTGCAGGCCCATCTGGAATCACACTTTTCACCTGCAGAAACTCGTCAGGCTCATCTCCACCAATGATGGTAAATCCAAAACCCATGTTGCTCTTTTTTAGGGTGGTGCTGAGGAATGTTCCCTTCAACTGGGACGCATCCCGGGTGAAGAGCGGTTTTTCTACATTGGCCAATATAAGTTAAAAAAGAAAAAGCACGTTTCAGGCAAGTTCCCAGATAAGAGAAAGCAAGCCACTGAGCGGCAGCAACCCTGGGGGTGAAGGTGGGGGTCTTGTGTGGCAAATGCAAGCAGGTGGAGTGGGTGGTGACTGCCAGAGCAGCAAAACTGTCAGAACTTTCTGCAAACGCAGAGCGGTCCCAAGCATCCAGGGAAAAGTTAAAAGCTGTCTGGTTTGGAGAGAGACTTTCTGTCAAGTCAATATTTCCATTCACTAAATTAGCCTTCCTGTACTTAAAAAGGGCTGCATTAACAGGCTGCCCTAGTCTTCAGATAAAGAGGTCAAGGAGGCCAAATCATCCAGACACATCTGGATATATTCGTCTGGTTGTCATGAAAGATTTCGGGTGGGAGGTACATCAGAGTGGCCAGTCTCTCACTAAACCTTACAGAGACAGGTAGAAAAGCGAAATGGACTTTTGGTTTCTTTGTTTGTTTGTTTTAGAGAGAATAAGAGCACAACATTTAAGCATGTGCTATCACAAATAGAGAAGCAGTGGAATGTGATCACATAGTCAAAGGTCCAGATTGTTTAGAAAGAGCACCTGGATGTGGGACTGAGTTAACTTGTGCTTACACCCCTAATTGTGAGATGCCATAAAGGTAACCAGATAAATAAATTTCTATTGACCCGATAGTGTTTAGTACACTCTAAAATGTGAGCAAAAGGCAAGCCAATATCTTGATATATAATTATGAATGTAAAGGTAACACATTTTGTAACATTAAAATGATATGCCTAAACCCATTTCATATAGGTTTGCCCACTAATTTGTTATATAATATAATTTTCCAGCTACGGTCTATAATAAATATATTCCCAGGACTATTAAATGCTTTAAAAATAATAGTAATACCCGTTATATATATTATTAGCATATGCTTTACATTCAATCTCAGATAAGTATTTTATATGTTACTTTTTAAAATTTGTTACATTTAAGGTGATAGGATTTGATACTCGTAAAAGCCAAATTGTGCATGGTAACTCAGTTAAGTATTTTGTATGATACTTTCATTATATTTCAGTTGATATGTAATTAAAAAACTATAAAATCATGAGTCATTCTATTAGAGTTTTACTTTATCTGTTCAGTTACATATCACATATACCTTCCTTAAATATAGATCTTTTAAAAATATAAATAAAAAAACACAGTATAATATTTCCACCTATGTTTCCTTCATCAAAGTAATGCTTACAATGAGAGAGAAGTTCACCAGGAGACCTTTACATTCATCGGGTTGTGCTGTAGTGGAACGGGGTGAAAGTTATCAGCAGGCAAGCCTAGGTCTCTGGACTCCAAAGCCTCTTTTGTGATTTTATTTATGAGTAGAAGCCCTCGAGATGTGAAAGTTTTGTGCGACTCATCCCACTACGTGGCTACCAGGTGTAGTCAGGAACGGCAAGCAGCTCTGGGACGTACCAAAGGGCCAGGGCCTCCCTGCTCGGTCGCGCTGATAGTAAGACAAGTCATTCACGCTGCGCGACCTCTCCAGGGCAGCGAAGGGGCCAATGGATTTGGGCCTAGGTAATGTCGATGAGGATCTGTGTACTGTCACAAAGGAGAACAAGCCTCATTCTTGCCCTCGGTCTTTAGAGGACGAACTTATGAGTCTCTATGAATCCGTGCAGTTTACAGAACCACTGTCAGAACCCATTCATCTCCACCTGGCAACATGCTGTAAATTCCTATAAGGGATCCCCTGAGGCTTTAGCTTCATCTGTGATTGCTAAAGGCATTAGTTTAGAGACAACGCAAACGCCCAGCTAAAGCTAATGGAAGGTTTTGGGGAAAGCAAACCAATTATTCAAAATTGTCCAAGCCACAAACAAATTTGAAGAGCGGGCAGTTTGACAGACAATTTTGCCTTTGAAACATCGCATGCTGACATGGTCTCATACCTCGGAAACCTGGGGCCTGCAGGGGCTTTGTTCCAAGTTCTGTGTGGGGCATGTTATGCTGCTGTAGCTTCCTTTTTGCTTCCAGGACAGGGTTTTCAAACTGTGTTCTTCTATTTATGTGGCTAAAAAAGAAAATTTCAAATTATCATAACAGTGGGGCAAAGTCATTTAAGAGAACATATGTTTGGCTCTACAGAGAGCAGGTGATTAAGGGCCACCTTATGTGATTATAGTCAAGTGTCTTACCCAGCACGAGGTCTGGCTTCTGACAGGGCTGGCCTGGGTACAATACACATTTCTGTGACAAGCACAGAGTTCTCAATGGCTCTATCATATATTATTGTATTTACATTATGCATGCTTCAGCTAAAAGAACTAGAATGTGCACCTGCTTTCTGGTCTACTGTGTTAGTTTGAGATAAGTTTGATACATTAAAATAAATGGTCAAAAAATGACATTTAGACTGCATAATCTTGGAAAAAAGAGTATCATCTAAGGCTAAGCTTTGCAAAATCCCTGTAACAGCAGGATAAATGTGAGGTAAATTCACTGATATAATGTAGTAACCAGAGTTCACACTTTTTATTCAGACATGATTAAAGGGTTGGGATCCAGCAAAAATACTCCCAAGGATATTTATGGAAGTTACAAAATACCTATGTAGGACAGTTAATGCTAAGTCAATCAAAAGTAAATTCACATCCACATGGTGATATGGCAAACTCACAGATACCAGACACAGAGTGGCTTGAAGAAACTGTGGCCCAGCTAAACTGAGGGCTTATAGTAGAAGAAAACTATGAATTCCTGTGTAAAACAGGCTGTTTGAAGTTAGAGTTCCTCGTCCATGGGGAGAATAAGAACCAACAACCCTGCCTAGTAGTGGCTTCACGTTGCTCTTTCTCTAGGACATAAATGCCCCATGAGAGGGCTTTTATATACATTGACTTTGGTTATTTGTACAAATCAAAATAGAATTATGGTATGAAAACATGAAGAGGAAAGAGGAGTTAGAAGAGGAATTGACAAATACTGAGCACTTAACTCTGGGCCAGATACTATATATAATTTTCCTCAGGAAATCCTCATAAAAATGCAGTCTTGAATTGTAACTATCCCTCTTTTAAAGGCAATGAGACTGACACACAGAGAGGCCAAATGACTTGCTGTAAATCATATGCCTAGTAAGTGGAAAGGTTGGAACTTGACCATGTCTATTTCTACAATGGATCTCTTACCACTTTCTCTTTTCGATATATGATTTCACATTGGCAATATGTGGGCATGCACACACACCACCCTCCACTACAAACCACTCGCTATGTCTTCTAAAAGCACATATTAGAAAGGAAAGGAGATAAAAGAAGCAAAATCTCAACAACCAATTTTTGCTGTTATGAATCTGATCATTTCTGGTGAGACAGAAAAGCAGTTGCCAAAAACATGATAGGATGACTGCAACATCTAATTCTTTCCTCATGAGAGGCAGGCTAGGGTACCTGCCTGCCCCTCAGGCTCTGGAATCGATCAGTCAGGTTCAAATTCGTGCTCGACCTCTTGACTAGCTGCGTGTCCTCGGGCAAGTTATTGAACCTGAGTCTTAGTTTCTCAATCTGTCATGTGAACGAGCATAATATTGCCTTCTTCCTGGAGTGGTTGTGAGGATTAAATGAAATAATGAATACTTAGCACATGGTTTTGAGCATAGACATGCTAAATAATTAGTATAACTAGCTGTTATCACCACTATTATCATCTTAATCACCACCATCATTTTGAGTCAGTAAGAAGGGCTTTTTTCGGAGAACTTAGAAGCACCAGGCCCTTGCTCTGATTGCCTCTGGTGGTATTTAGGAAGATGGTGCTTATAGCAATGTTCTTTGTTAGTGAACTCACCTATAAGGATTTCAAAGTAAATTTGTAAAAATGTAAAATGATTTTCCATTGGTAGCAAAATGCTTATGTAATATTCTTGTGCACCAAGGAGGCACCATGGCTGTGGTGTACAGCAAGCTACGTGAGCACATGAAACATGAGCTTTCAAAGCTTCTTCACCCCATAATTTCTGAAGCTACCACTCTATCTTGGAAGGGAAGCCTCTCTTCCCTTTTCTCCATTATCATGTAACTTCCTTACTAAAATCCTTTTGAAAACTTCCTATTACCTAAAAATATATTTTTCCTGATTTTGACCTTACTTATTTCTGTAGCTTCACCTTTGACTGCACCGTCACATGTGTCCTTTTGCTTCGGATATACTTGGAGCTGCTTTGACAGTCAACACCCTATCAAACCTCTTATCTTTTCACGTGAGACTCAGTGTACCAATGGCGCAGCACTTGAAGCAAGACAGTCTGGGTTTGAGGTGGTATCTTGGGCAAATTTCTAACTCTCTAATCATTAATATTCTTACCTGTAAATGGGAACATTAATGTCTACTTCATGGGGTTGCTGTGAGGACAAGAGAGATGTTTGCAAACCACACATACATAGGGAGAACCTCACAATTGTAAGGTATAGTCATTATTTTTGAAGCTATAGTTATTCTTTATTCTAGTATTTGAAGTGCTGCAGCTGCTATTATCATTATTATGACGCTTTTCCGACCTGTCCCGTGACTCCTCCCCTAACCTCTCCCAGTCACATTCTCAGCCTGTGTGATGTCCCTCCCCTTGGGCTCTCATAAAACCTTGAATCGATCTCTCTCCTTGCAGTTCATTCACTTATTTTCCAATATCCTGCCTCATTATTAAAAGGACTTGAGGCACTTTATAAGAATAACAACAACAAAAGTAAACAAAATCAGGGTGAAGCTAGTTGAATCTAGGTGGGAGGTGAGTGGCAAAATTGATAACACGGGTCCTATTTGTTTACTGGACTTCTGTTGCAAATTAGCTTTGAGCTTCAAGTTGCTAAATCAACAAGAGAGAGAGAAACCAATTCTACTCTTCAGATAATTTAGGATAACCCAAGCCAGTTGTTCAGAAGGACATAGTACTCCTATTATTAGGTTCTGTGAAATTCTTTCCAAGTCTTGAATAAAGAGGTTTCTGTGATGTAGTTGCAACATCTTAAGTGATAATTTTACAATCACGAATTTCACAGGCTATGCTAACTTTATCATAGTCTTTGAAATGATTGAATTTCATGCTTATTTCCTTCCCTAGATTGTACACTCCTGTATACAAGGTACATGTTATTTATCTTTGTATACTGAGCATCTAACACAATGAATGGCAATAATTTATTCATTAAATAATTAAATGATGAGTGTGTGAGACTTTTATTTTCAAATATATGTCAATAATTTCAAGAAATCAAGAAACAGCTTTGAAATGTACTGGGATATCAGCTTTTCTCATTTCCTATCTGTTCTACTTTCTGTTTTGCTAGGCCATTGTTCATCATAGGCATAACTTTATCCTTAGAAAATACATTACAAGAACTGTTTGGGATAGTTATACATATAATAGGGTTCCTCCAACTTGCCACCCGCATGTAATTATTTTCTTAGAAAAGCTAATGTGTAGCCACCTGCTTTATGGACACTATGCTGAAAATATTACATTCACCATCGAAGTGAGTTTCTAGAGTTCACAGAGAATGAAAATACTAATGAACTAGCTTGGCATGCCTTGTACGCCACAAATAGCGGAAGCTGGATATGGCTTTAGTACCCTAAGCTAATTGCTACAGAACATTTACATTGTCAGAAATGAAGTCATTCATTTAAAACTTAAAATGCTCACAAGCTCTAAAAGCCTTATCACAAAGAAATGTGATTGTAGCTGAATAGAAACTTGTCTTCCTTATGCTTCCAAAATGAATACTTTCAAGTCCTTTTAGCAAAGATTTGGGGATCTTACAATGTGTACAAAAGATGTGAATGACAAATGCCATCCTTCCTCATTGTTTGGGCTCTGTGAGATAAGTACCAGCTATTTCATCTAGCTTCCATACAGAACAGGAACCTGGGAAGCCACCAAGAATTCTTACTATTTAATTATATCTAGTCTATTGTCATATTTTACTAAGAGAAGGTTTAGATGTTCAAATCTAAAGGAGTAAAAGTCATATTCTGCAGTGCATATATCCTAACAACTTCATTTTCTCTTTACAGAAGGGAAAGAATACTGATGAGAGATACTTCCATATTAAAACGGCAAAGGGAGAAGGATATTCAAGGATGAGATTGTGTTGCTTTCTCCCTTTGTCCTTACATTCACTTATGTTCAGTTTGACCTCCTCCTCTCACCATGGAATGGAAACTTAAAACAAGCTCATACGTGGCAGCACTGTGAAATTCTGGATGCACCCGAGAGCTTTAAAAACAAACATACAAAAACGGAACACTCAGAGCCACCCTAAATCAACTGATTCCTAATCTCAGAATGGGGTACACAGACATTGGCATTTTTTTTTTTTTTGAAAAAAGCTTCCCAGGTGTCTCTAATGTGCAGCTCTGGGTTGCAATCCCCAGAGTTAGAAGCTGAGACTGTAGGAAGAGGTATTGCATAAAGAGTTTCATGCCTGATAAGATTTACGTGGAAGGCTCTTTTTCTGTATGTGGCCTTGGGGGGTACTAGGAAATGCTATTTTGCTCCTGAAGAGGACTTCTGCCATCAGAAGTTTCAGACAAGAACTGAGGGAAGGAAATATTTGCAGCTGATTAGATGATATGCTGCCAAAGGTAGTCTCAGGTCAGGATACTGCTTGACTGTCAATTTCATCACTGTGGAAAGGGAATGGAGGAATTAGGGGAAAAAAAAAAGTCATGCTTACTGAGCCCATCAGTATGTGAAGGACAGGTCTGCGGAAGGTTATCAGGGCCATTATCTGACTCTCACCACCAATGCTCTGTCTATATTCCAGCCTGTTCATGCCCCACCTTGCTTTTCCTGGGGTTTTTGGAGAGGGGCACTCAGTGCATAGTCGTGAATGACACCTTTGCACCCACCATCTTGACTTCAGTCGACAATTAGAAATAATCAATGTGGGCCGGGCACGGTGGCTCACACCTGTAATCCTAACACTCCAGGTGGCCGAGGCCGGAGGATTGCTTGAGTTCAGGAGTTGAAGACCAACCTGAGCTAGAGTGAGACCCCATCTCTACTGAAAATAG